CACCACTGCGGCTCTAATCAAATTGGAAATAGATTGGAGGGCCAAGAACCTTAACGCAAATTCTTGCAGCGTGACTTACCCGAGCAGAAAATATAACTTTTAGGCAAGCAACCCAAACTGTATCTGTACATTATAACCTATAAAATGGAATAACAAATGTATAAGAATGATAAATGTAAAGAAGAAAAGAGATTATGGGAATGTATACTTAAAATGGTATGTAAGAGAATAAAAATAAATTAAAATGTTCTGGGGAAAAAAAAGGATCCATTTTTTTTACTTCTCAGTTGATTTCCTTGCCTAAAAGTTATATTTTCTGCTCGGGTAAGTCACGCTGCAAGAATTTGCGTTAAGGTTCTTGGCCCTCCAATCTATTTCCAATTTGATTAGAGCCGCAGTGGTGCAATCGTTAGAATGCAGGGCTGCAGCTAATTCTGCTGACTGCCGGCTGCCAGTAGTTTGGCAGCTCGATCGTGACCGGCTCAAGGTTGACTCAGTCTTTCATCCTTCCGAGGTCAGTAAAATGAGGACCCAGATTGTTGGGGGAAAGAGGCTGACTCTAAACCACTTAGAGGGTTGTAACTCACTGTGTAGCAGTATATAAGCTCTATTGCTCTCCCTCCCTCCCCTGATGGCACAGTGGTTAGAATGAAGTATTACAGGCTGACTCTGCCCACTGCCAGGAGTTCGATCCTGACCGGCTCAAAGATGACTCGTCCTTCTATCCTTCTGAGGTTGGTAAAATGAGAACCCAGATTGTTGGGGGCAAGAGGCTGACTCTGTGAACTGGTTAGAGAAATTGTAAAGCACCGTGAAGTGCTATAGAAATCTACGTGCTATTCCTATTGCTATTGATTGTCGGGAAGAATTATCTCCTTGTTCCATACATTCATAGCTAAACCAAATCTAGCTAATTTCTTTCAGACTCAATAAGCCCATATAGGAATGTGGGGTAACATTAAGGCTCTGCTGATGGGTCTGCGAGCAAGCTCGTTGTTGGCTTATAAGGTACAGTACACCTCAAGGTGCCCTTGACTTGTGGTATGTGTCCATGGCGTTTTTCCTGCTAATTTGCCACTGCCTTCTTCCAACTGATCTACGACCCAGAAATCCCCACCACCATTCAGTCAGAGCTGAAGAAGCTTCCTTGATGAGAGTCCAGATTTGCCTCTTGAAAAAAGCACTTTTGGGACAACTGCCATGATTCACTTGTGACAAGAAAGGTCATAACATGGGGCAAAAATTCACTTAACAAATGTCTCGCTTAGCAACAGAAATTTTAGGCTCAATTGTGGCCGTAAGTCGAGGACCACCTGTGTTCACAGGATGACGGACTAAATCAGCATAAATAAGATTGCCTTATAGGCCAGTTATGCTGATCAATGCGTTCCCAAACCTTGGTTAGGCAGAATAAGCATAAGCTCACCGGACGAGTGTTTCAATTCTCCTTTTGTATTTCGGGTCAATTTTATTGCGATATTCTGGTCTCATCAGCATGGCAGCAAAGGCAAAGGCTGATTTTTTCAGCCCTGCCCGGTGACATTCAATTACCGTTGAGGTCAGGATGGGCACAATATCTGAAAGGAAAACAACAGGCATCATCTTGCAAAGAAATTGAGAGTTTAGCTGCTCGTTGTCGATTGGCGGTCAAAACTGTCTGGATTTCACAGAGTTGCTGCTGATAAAATTTAATCTCCCAGAATTTGAAGAACAAGAGGCCACTTGACATGATAGTCAAACAAACAACACCATTGCAACGATATTGAATAACAACCATATCAATAATGCACATTGGAAGAATTTTTAATCACCGATCAATTTATTGACGTGAGCCCTGTTCAACAATCCTACATGATGCAGCAATAATTACCGTATTTTTCAGAGTATAAGACGCACTTTTTCTCCCCCCTAAAAGAGGGTGAAAATTTGGGTGCGTCTTATACACTGAATGTAGCCAAAAATACGATTATTAACACAAAAGCTGCAATGCTCAATACTTTAATGAAGAAGAAGTAAATATCCCTGACTCCCTCAAAGGGGACAGATTCCCAGTTTGGAGAACACTTACGAGATGGAAACTTGCTGATATTGTTAGCAACACGAATGAGCATCCGTGCTCCTTTCATGTGGTCCCCACGCTTAACATGAATCTGAAATACACATGTGAGTTAGGCATTATTCATAATATTTAGGAGCTACTCAGAGTAAACAAGGAAAAAAAGCAGATGATCATTAAAAGATTTGTGGAGCTTCGTGGCAATTTACACGATTTTATAATAATTTTCTTTGCTACAAGCCCTTGAATTGATTACTCCCTTCCCTTATTGTAATACAGGTGGTCCTCGACTTACGATCACAATTGAGCCCAACATTTCTGTTGTTAAGTGAGACATTTGTTAAGTGAGTTTTGTCCCATTTGATAAGCCTGTTTGCCACCGTTGTTAAGTGTATCACTGCAATTGTTAAGTTGCTAACTAGGTTGTGAAGGGAATCTGGCTTCCCCAATGGCTTTGCTTGTCAGTGGCCACAAAAGGGAACCACATGATCCCAGAACATTGCAACTGTCATAAAGACATGCCAGTTGCCAAGCCTCTGGATTTTGACCACGTGACATGGGGAATGCTGCAATGGTGGTAAGTGTGAGAAATGGCCACATCATGTTTGCGTTAAACAGAGCCGAGGTGGCGCAGTGGTTAAATGCAGCACTGCAGGCTACTTCAGCTGACTGCAGTTCTGCAGTTCGGCTGTTCAAATCTCACCGGCNCCCTTGTTCCTTAGCTGTTCCCTTCTCCTGGCAGCTCTGCGCATGTGCACACTGGGAACAGGCTCCAGCTGTTTTTCTGCCCACTGATGTCTAACTATGAAGGCAGCTGATAACTGTCAGAAGGCCCTGGCTCCCTCTCTCCCTCCGACACAGAGCCTTCACCAGACTCCAGGACTGGCCCATGTTCCTCCCCAACCTCCTCACTGTCTGAGTCTGCAATCGGCTCCGCTGGCGGGACACAACAATAGCACTTAAGACTTATATACCACTTCACAGTGCTTTATAGTCCCTAAGCGGTTTACAGAGTCAACCTCTCGCCCCCGAGAATCTGGGTCCTCATTTTACTGACCTCGGAAGGATGGGAGGCTGAGTCAACCTTGAGCCTGGTGAGATTCGATCTGCCAAACTGCTGGTAGCCGGTGATCAGCAGAAATACCCTGCAGTACTGCACTTTAACCACTGCACCACCACGGCTCAGTAGTGATCAAAGACGAGCTGTCTGCAACTCATTCTTCAACTGTAGAGTGCATCCTTGCAGAGTGGAGAATCAGTATCCTTGGTCACATCCTGATGTCTCATCTTCACTCCTTTGGAGCTATATATTAAGCCTAGAAGGTTTTGATTTACACAACTACCAATGCACATTTTGCAGTCGTCAAGCAGAGAAGAATCAGTGGGCAGAATGGGTGGTATCGTGGAAGAGGGCCCAGCATATACAATCCGTGTCCTTCCACATATACAATGCATCGGAAAAAGCTTCGTTGCGTGGGAAAAAAACTGGGGGAAATGAGCGCACGCGAGAGAATAGGCCAGTTCCTGGTTTAGATACATACAAATGAACATTCTTTAATAATATTCTGAGTTCTACACATGAAAACAAAGATTGAGCCACTTAACTTGATTCAAATTATTGCTCCACTTCAGGCTTGAGGTACGGTGAGCAATCGGCTGTTCTGCTTAGGCTGGCGGCATTGACTTTTTCCGAACACATGGGACAGGCGTCTTCGCTCTGCAACAGACTATTGAAAGAAGACACTTTCACTATCTCCCACAATGCGCATCAGCTATGCAGGTGGCAGAGCATTAGATTGGCCTCTGGGTTTGCTCTGCCTCTCCCATCAACGGATTCACCTCAGAGCCTTAAAATGAATGGTGTTTTACGTGTCTCCAAGCAGCTGGTAGAAAAGGAATAAAATCGGCAGTGTGCAAGCCTACAATTTATTATTAGTCACAATAATCAGAGGGTAGATGTCCCAAAATACCCCGTTTTCCCCAAAACAAGACACAACCAATTTGTGTTGCCTACTATTTTATTATATGTTTGTATCTTAATGTCTTAATGTCTGTATTCCCCCTTCCCGGTTTTGTGTGAGCCGCCCTGAGTCCCCTCANCAGCTTTGAAACAAAGATGTGCACCGCCCCCTAGAGTCAGGAATGACCAGCACATATGTGCAAGGGAAACCTTTACTTTTACTTTACTTTTAAGTCCTTTACAATTTTTCTCTTATTTGCTCATACAAAACAAACGGCTTTTGCAGGGTGCCATGATGTCCATCGCTTTCAAAGAAGGATTGAAAGTTCCACCACCGGCAATGAATGAACTCATTTTGGCAGCTAATCAGGATATCAGACAGGTGAGTTACTTGTCAAGACTGACATCTGATATGTAATTCTGTTTATCGTTCCAGACGCATTTGATTTGGTGCAACTGGAAGCAGGAGCCACTGCTACAGAAAAGGAGTGGGGGGTTTTTGTTGAAAGAAAGGAATTATTTTATAAAACGAGATGACCAGTGGGTAATAATTGTTCTGTAGCAATTGTTTACTAAGAAAGTTGTAATGTGGATTTTTCCTTACTCAACGGGCGTTATGAGCAAGACTGAAGCTTTGTGCTTTCTTTTTATCAAAAGGTGTTGCATAATCTTAGCATGTGGTGTGCCAGAGACAAAACCTTGACTTATGACGGTGTCAAAGAAGACGCCAGTAAAGCCAAAAAGGATATTAAGCTGGTAAGTTTGATTGAAGGCCCATGTCCGTGCAACGCACTTTAAGAAGGGGTTTGGAGGCGTTTAGAAATCCTTCTAAATTTGAAATGACTTGTTTAAACTTTTCCAGAAATGCCCCCAAAGCAGTGGTGGGATTCAAAAATTTTTACTACTGGTTCTGTGGGTGTGGCTTGGTGGGCATGGCTTGGCTTGGCTGGCATGGCAGGGGAAGGATACTGCAAAATCTCCATTCCCTCCCGATCAGCTTGGGACTCAGGAGGCAGAGAATAGATCAGGGGCGCGGCCAGCCAGAGGAGGTATTTACCAGTTCTCCAAACTACTCAAAATTTCCGCTACCGGTTCTCCAGAACTTGTCAGAACCTGCTGAATACCACTTCTGCCCCAAGGCAACAGTTGCAGAAGTGTTCCAAGCGCTATTTTAAGTCGCCTTTAGCGGGATTAGAACTACGATTTGATCTCAAGGTGGAACTTTGTTGAACTTTTAAGGGCTTTGAATGTGAGACATTTCGCATGACACTACTGAAAACTCAGTGGCACCTAGGTACAGATCACGTTAAAAAAAAATAGATTGTTCAGGTTTAGGAACCTCACTTTTACGGAGGAAGAAAGGAAGTCCCCGCTTATTGACGTATTTGGAAATGACACCTGATTCCAACGTGAGCAAGGGGAGGGAATGCAACCCGCGATAATGCAGATAATGTGGTTTGCAAATTGGAAGAGAAATTTGGTTGTTGACTTAAACACCCCATGCTTTGTGGACATAAAATCCAAGTTTTTCCAGAGGCACGTAGCAAAAAATATAATTCTGGATTCTCCTAAAGTGACATCATGAAGTTTGTGAGATGGTGGAGTCATCCTGCTCAGAGACCAAAGCCACAAATGAAAATAATAATAATAACAATAACAACAACATCATACATTTTAAAAAGATGCCTTGGTTGATACCTAGGACGCTGGCACCAACCCGTATCAACCATTGGCACCAGTCAGTGGTATTTGTGACACATCTTTAAATGTTCAGTTGACTTGAGTTTCATGTTTTATAATAATGATGATAATGCATATTCTAGGTCAGGCATATTTTATATTTTTCAGAGCATTAGAGATCTATTCTCCACTACTTCCCATCTTGGGTGACCCAAATCATAACTGTAGAACATAACACCCCCTTGATATAATGTTCTAACTCACTTGTTGCAAGGGGGTGATTGACACATGTGCCAACTCATCCGAACGACGGTTTGCGTGCTTCGGGCGCATCTGACCCAGCCTCTTGGCAGTTTCCCTCAATGACTTTCCTTTCTCCAGGGTCCTTTCGATGTGGTGAGGAAGGTTTTCGCCAAAGGAGAGGAGACTTCTCACCTGTCTCTTATAGACAAGGCAGATCTGTTCTTCCACGATTACTCTCTGGGCCCCCTCTTTGTCCAAGAAAACTACATCCACGTCAAGCCCGCCGCTGCTGGGTGAGTTTCGGATGGTCATTTTGACAGGAGTTGTCGGAATTTAAGACGGTTAATAAACGTTGGCGTTCTTTTGTCTTTTCCAGGAACAACTTGAAGAAAGAACTCATCCTGCTTAGCAAAACCGCGGACAGCATCTGCGATGGCGATTTAGTTGACCGCCAGATTCGCACACGACAAAACTGGAGCCTTCTTCCCACTCAGGTGACGCTGCTCTTTTGCTCTAGGCGTAGAGTGGATTGCAGTTAAAAGTTGTTTCTTGCAAAATAATAATAATAATCGTGCGGTCGTCTTAAAAGCCAGCTCGGATTATTATTTTTTCATTCTTCATTATTTTTCTCTGCAAAACCCAAGAGATTTATTTACCTGTGTCGTTAAGTAGGAGTTGATAGTGCCTTAATGGCACATTATCAATTTTATTTTTATCCCACCTTTTTTATTTTTATAAATAACTCAAGGTGGCAAATGTACCGAATGCGCCTTCTTTCTCCTGTTTTCCCCACAATAACCCTGTAAAGTGGGTTGGGCTGAGAGACTGACTGATCCAAAGTCATCCAATTGGCTTTTATGCCTGAGGCGGGATTAAAACTTACCTTCTCCATGTGATTGGCTCAAAGTCACCCAGCCAATTTTCATGCCTAAGGCAGGACTAGAACTCATGATCTCCTGGTTTCTAGCCTGGTGCATTAACCACTAGACCAGGTGTCGGCAACCTTAAACACTCAAAGAGCCACAAAGGTCCTAACCGGAAGCCCCACGTTCAATTCTGGAACTGACTTCCCCCACCATAAAGTCTCCTCCTAGTGCGGCATCCTTTTTTTCCTCTGCCAACTGGAAGTAGTTTCCTCATCACCACCACAGAGACTCCTCTAGCGCAGCATCCTTTTTCCTCTTAACAACAGAAGTACAGTTCCCCCACCATAGAGTCTCCCCCTAGCGCAGCGTCCTTTTTCCTCTGGCTGTCCTAACTGAAAGCCCTGTCAATTGTGGAACCAACCGGCAACAGGGAGCTGCAGCAGAGGGATGAAAGAGCCACATGTGGCTCCAGAGCTGCAGGTTGCCGATCCCTGCCCTAGACCAAAGTGGCTTGGGGAAAAAAAGTGTCAGAAAATGAATTTAGAGTTTTATTTTTTCCTAGCATAAGCTTTGAAATATTTTATCTAGCATATTTTATTTTATCCAGTTATTTTATGTACCATAAGCTTTGAAATATTGCAACAGATGTCAGCTTTTTAAATTGTTCAGTCATTGTGGTTAAATTGCATACTAACCAACAGTTTGATTTGAGTAGCACATTTTTAGGACTTCAAAACAGTGCTAATTTATCTAGCTTCAGATATACAACTTACTTTTTCTTAAATGTCATGTTTATTAGAAGAACAATAATTATTATGTATAGTTTATTTTTTTGTAAGACAATGTAGGCTTGTAGTCTTCACATTCTCTTTTCAAATAACAGAAGGCCGAGGAGAGCAGATACATTTCTAGAGCATTTGAGACCATTCCTATGGATAAGATGCTATAAATCAGTACTGCAGATGAAATAAATACTAGATTTGACAAGTATAAAAATTTACAGATCTGTTGGGTTCCAGAATAATGCTTTTAGAAGAATGTCCCTATTAATTTTAAAAAGAGACTTGGTGGCTCAGTGGCTAGGATGCTGACCTTGTCGATCAGAAAGGTTGGCAGTTGGGCGGTTCGAATCCTTAACGCCGCATAACGGAGCGAGCTCTCGTTATTTGTCCCAGATTCTGCCAACCTAGCAGTTCGAAAGCATTTAAAAATGCAAGTAGAAAAATAGGAGCCACCTTTGGTGGGAAGGGAAGTGTGTTCCGTGCGCCTTTGGCGTTTAGTCATGCCAGCCACATGACCATGGAGACGTCTTCGGACAGCGCTGGCTCTTCGGCTTTGAAACGGAGATGAGCACCGCCCCCTAGAGTTGGGAACAACTAGCACATATGTGCAAAGTGAACCTTTGCCTTTTTATTAATTTAAATAGAATAATTCTGAATCACTGGCGGGGTTATTAAATTCAACTTTAACCTTTTTGCTTAATTGTGGGAATTGGTCCTTCACTCTGCCGCCTCAACTGTATTTTATCAAAAATAGAGAAAGTGCTAAAACCGTTTCCTTCCTTTTTTCAGGCAATTTATTCGAGCGTCCTGCCTGGGGAGCTGATGAGAGGCTATTTGCAAGAATTTCCAAGTTTCCCAAGTTGGTTGGGGAAATTTTCATCCACAGGAAAGCACGACCGCATCATACAGGAGCTTTCCATGCATATGAGTCTCAGGTAATTATGGGCAGTCCTCGACATACGACTACAGTTGGTCCCCAAAATTTCCATTGCTAAGTAAGACAGTTGCTAAGCGAACGTTGCCCCATTGCAAAGGTGTTCCTGGCCAGAGCCGTCACCTGATCCTCAAGCAGGAGCTGGGAGACCAGGACTCTCAGAGTGGTGCCCTTTCCTAGCTCGAGAAGCTCTTCAATCACTTGTGCTTGAACCCCTTCGTGGCTTCATGCTTGCAGTGGCCTGGACGGGGCACTGTCCCTTAAAACCATGTGGGAACTCAAGTGGTCCAGAATGCAGTGGGGAGTGATGTGCATGCCTTGGTAGGCCCTTGTGCCACCTTTCCTTTCATGCTTGTAGGTGCAATTCAAGGGGCTGGTTCTAACCCATGAAGCCCTACGTAGCCCAGGCCTCTGGTTCTTTGGAAGCCCATCTATCTGTTCTGACCCAGGCTTCCCCAGCCGCACGAAGCCGAGTCCTCGTCCTGATAAACCCCTTTTATTTAATGTACAGTGAATTCCTCTCCAGCAAAGTCTTTCCTCTCCCACAGTNCGGATTGTTGTTGGGGGCAATATGCTGACTCTGTAAACCGCTTAGAGAGGGCTGAAAGCCCTATGAAGCGGTATATAAGTCTAACTGCTATTAAATTTCATTAGCTTGGATTTAATCTTTCTCTATTAATACATACATAATAAAAGTAGTTACCTTTACTAAAATGTAACTGTGTAGAATCATCAAGTTCGTAGCCATCTCAGAGGGTATTTTAATTTTCTGTACTTTTAATTCTAAATACATACTGAAGAGAACATCGTGGGCTTTTCGATAATGCCCTTTTTAAAAGAAAACCAAAACAGAGAGAAAGGAAACCAAAACAGCAATTAAATTTCAGTAAAATAGGCTATTCTTAAACACTATCAGATCAAGCTAAATATTAAAATTTAGTTACTGATTTGTCCAAGACATTACAGCCACAACGCCTTATCCACAAATTCACTTGAACTAGATGCTTGAATATAAAATGTTAAATTCCAGCAACAAAGGGGGGGAAATTGGTTTAAATTTAATGGTTTGTTTAATGCCCACAGTATGTGAAAATTTAATAGTCAAAAAATAGATGCATCTTCTAGTTATGTTATCCTCCAAATGAGATGTCTGCTGGGCATTTATGAGGTTAAACTAACTAGTTGGTTTAATCCAGAGCAATGCGGTCATAAAAAAATGTGGTTATGCCTCTTGGAGCCAGGGGTTCCCAACCTTGGCAATGTTTCAGACCTGTGGAATTCAATTCCCAGAATTCCCCAGCCAGCTGATGAATTCTGGGAGTTGAAGTCCATAGGGATTAGTGGCCACGGTTGGATACCTTGAATAAGAGCAAGGGAAAGCATAGTTAACGCTCTTAATAAACAGGAGAGGAAACGCTGAAAAATAAATTCTGCCTTTAATGCGTTTTAAGTTTAACAGTGGAAAGACGATGTCCCTGTGTCCCTTTTCTTTTGAAGGAGTAGATGAATGAACATGAATCAATATTGGTTATTTCCTTTTATCATGAATTTCTTATGTTACTATGTAATTGTTACTGATTAAACCAATATTTGCTGTTTGCTTCTGATATGATAGACTGCTAGAAATCATTTATTAATAGAATTAAGCTTTGTTACTGTAGGCTTCTGATTATATTATTGCATACTGTCAGAAATCAGTTGTTTTCTAGCCTGGCAAATTGTAACCTTAATACTGGATGGCATTACTGCAAACGTTATCTCACTGCTACATCTCGCTTCTATCCTTGGCTTCAAAGCTAGGCACATTCTTGAAAACATAGAAGAAATTGTTACCCGGGAATATCAGGTCCCATAGATAAAGGAACCCAACTAGGGGGCTTTCCTGGCTCATAAATCCTTAAAGAATTCTGCCGGGGGGAAAAACTTGGCAAAGGGGGGCTGGCACCCCCTAACTCAAGGCTACAGGAATGCTCCACAGATAAGGTAGACAGAGACAGGAGCTTGAACAAAAGGACACTTTAAAGATCATGTTGGCAACGAATCTTTGTCTCCGATTGGATAAACTTTGGTTTCTATCTGCCTAAAATGTATATAATCTTCTGAGCCCCTCTTGCAGGGGGTGGCTATTCCTTCCGTGCATTTGTTTGTATGTTTTGGATATAGTTTTGTCTCCCAGCTTTTGCTATGGCCATAAATAAAAGCTGATTATTTTTGCAAGTCTCCGTCTCTTTGGCATTTCAGTGGCTCGGGGAAACTGCTGGAAGCTTGTGCTTTCTTCCGTGACTTCCTGTGTCGTATTGGTCAGATTGGCTGTCCAGAAATGAACCACCCAAAGAGCCATACCTGCGCACTGTTCTTCTCGAGCGATGATGATTGCTGTCCGAGCCGCTTCCCGGTATTGCTTTAATGCCATGTAGAGTCGAAAGAGATATTTGGCTTCCTTCATCGGAATGAAAAAGAGAGAGTTGCACCTCAGAGTAGGCCAAGTTCCAGCGATCGCTGGCTGGATGTTTAGGAAGGCTTCGTACAATAAACTGCTTGCATTTCTTCTGGCTAAGTGCACAGTGAGCAATGGTGCCAGGCCAGGTTTTTATGAGGCAATTAGCTTTTAAATTACCATCGATGGCTATACAATACAAGCATAGGGCATATGGTTTTGCAATCTGCCAGAAAGTAAAAAAATAATATTTGGGGGGGTCCTTGGTGCTCTCTGAGCTTGGTGGCTTTTTTGCAGACGTTTCATCACCAAATTAGGTAACATCATCAGTGCTAGAAGGAAGTGGGGGTGCGCAGAGAGGAGAAGGAGGAAGAAGAAGAGTGGGTTTGTGGAAAGGGGGAAGAGGAGAACTCTGGGGTCCTTGATGCTCTCTGAGCTGGTGGTTTTCTTGCAGATGTTTCACTACCAAACTAAGTAACATCATTAGTGCTAGAAGGAAGTTGGGTTTGTGCAAAGGAGAAAGGAGGAGGAAAGGAGGAGGAGGAAGAGTGTGCATCCTTGGTGCTCTCTGAGCTTGGTGGGTTTTTTTTTGCAGATGTCTCATTACCAAACAAGGTAATGTCAACAGTGCTAGAGGGGGTGGGGGTGAGGTCTGCTCTCATTTCAGTCTTGTTTGAATAGTTGATAGTTTTTGTGGTCCTTCTTCACAAGGATAGTTCCGTTTCATTTAACGCTATAACAGAATCCTGCAAGTCTGATTAGCATATTCTAAAAACCTCTTGGGGTGTGTGTTCTGTTAAGGTACAGCCTGTTGTGCCTTAAAATGGCTTCTACTGTACAGCACAGTGGAGTTGCCATGGTAATGCCTTCACAGTGCTCCATAAGCCCCACCCACCCCCTCTGGTAAGGGGGAAAATCCAACATTAGAAATTGCAGCGACATTCACGGAAGGAGGGTTGTCACCTAGTACATTAAATGAATGACTCATTGGGAACCACATATTAATATACAATACTAATATATAAAAGGACATGCCTTATATGCAGCCAGAATTTGAAAAGAACTTTTTAATACGGCCCAGTACTTGAGTAAAGTGGTTCGGCTGAGATCGGCATATGTGGGACTGATTGGGGTAGATTGTAAGGGGGATACTGGAATGTAATTTTATCCCATTTATCCATCTATCAAATTATTGCATTTTATTTCATTTTAAATTGTTTTCATAAGGCTTTATTTTTAAAAAATGGTATTTGGAATTCTGTATCTGGCCTACGGGCTAATCAATAAACCGAACTAAACTGTTTGGCTAAGCAGTGGTTCTTGAGTATTTCTCTTAAGTTCACCTCCATTAATCTCTACAGCTAACTGAACCAACCCAAAATATTGCCATGAAAACTGCTGACAATATCCCAGTTCCAGCTTAATAAAGCCTCTTTAAAAGCATCAGGTTTTGGATTCAGAGCTTTGGCAACCATTTGGGTAAAATGAGGGTAGCACATTTGGAAGGAAGGAACACAGTGACTGTACAACACACAGCCAAAGGGATGCGGCATTAAAACTTCTTTCAAAGTCTTCAAGTAACAACTATCATGGTTTAGAATAATTCAAATAAAAATACTCACAGAAACAGACTACAGAAGTGACAGTAAAGCCATTGGAAAAACAAAATGAGGTTTGGGTAAGTAAACAAAACAATAAAAATAAAAAGTTACAATGACCAAGATTAAATAAGATAGCACAATGCAGCCTTTAAAATACCGTATGTTTCGGAGTATAAGTTGCTCTGAAGTATAAGATACACCTAGCTTTTGGGGAGGAAAACAAGGGGTGGGGGTGGGAAATCTGCTTGTGCCTCCCAGCAATTTGCCTCCTTGCAACAAACGGCAAACAGCGCAGACAATATCCACTGTTTGTAGGGTTACATTTCAGACTATACATGTACAGATGCTGTTAAAATTGATGTGGCTTTCTGGAAGTATAGTTATTCTCTGCTATTTAAAGGAATAGCACTTTTTAAAACAATAGCACTGGGCCTCTTCAGATCAAGCATTTACAGTATTTTAAAAAGCTTCTTCATTTTGTTAAGTTGTCTAGAATAATAATAAAGCAGTCTTTCGAAAATAAGTCTAATAATT